GGGAGAGAAGAGAAGAGAAGAGAAGAGAAGAGAAGAGAAGAGAAGAGAAGAGAAGAGAAGAGAAGAGAAGAGAAGAGAAGAGAAGAGAAGAGAAGAGAAGACCAACAGGCAGGAGGGCAGAGTGAGGGACAGGAACTTATAGCTCTGAGCTTGATGCTGGGGAAAATACGCCAGGACATGCAGAACCAAGGACTCCAGGAGATGGAGGGGAGGTTGGATGTCTGTGGCTGGACAGACACAGGTGGAAGAGGGAGCTGAGCTGAGGGGGGCGGGAGGAGCCACAGACACGGCCCAGCATCTCCTGGGGCCGGTCCAGCCCTGTCCTACCTTGGTGGGCTGGAGGTGCTCCAGGATGTTCTCTCGGAGGGTGGCCACGGCCCTGTTGGCGTTTCGCTCCTGCTTGTACATCTGTGTGGTGGGGGGGATGGAGGGGGCCGCGGCCGAGCTCAGGTACGTCCCGTTGCCGAAGGCCTGGATGGCGTTTTCTTGGGAAAGAGACGGAGAAAAGGCTCGTCAGGGCAAGGCAAGACATCCCCGCCCCACCCAAAGGCACCTCTGGGGGTCTGCCCGGCTGCTGTGCTGGCAACCAGGGAGCTGGGCACCCACAGACTCCTGAGGAGCAGGGCATCTCCATAACCCCATTCCAAAGGAGGCCCCCCAGGGCGCAGGGATGCTGTGAGCACTCACGGAGACAGACGTTGTTGGTGAAGAGGTGCAGGAAGGTCTCACACTCTTCCTGCCGGTTCCCGCTGGCGTTGCAGGTGCACCAGGGAGCGATGCTGGACGTGGAGTTGTCGATGTAGTTGGGGGTGATGGGGCTGCCTGTGGGGGGGAAGGGGTGGAGAAGTGTGACCACGGGGTCGGTGAGATTCCCCCCAGAGCTGCTGTCTTGGGTTGCTCTGCTCTCAGCCTTGGCCAAAACCCACTGGGATGGCAGCACAACCCTCCCAGTGCTGCTGCCGTGGCTCTGGTTTGCTCCCAGGGAGGAGAATCACAACCTTTGTGGTCACCCCACTGCCACCAAAGTGTTCAATTGATTAGAAAGTTCTCTCAGTCCAAGGAATGAGCATTTTCTGAGAATTCAGGTTCCCTAAGAGCATTCATAGTTCAGGTTGGGAGAGACCTTAAAGCTCATCTTGTTCCATGGGCAGGGACACCTTCCACTAGCCAGGGACACTTTCCACTAGCCCAGGTTGCTCCAACCTGACCTTAGACACTTCCAGGGATCCAGGGGCAGCCACAGCTTCTCTACCCAACCTGTGCCAGGGCCTCCCCACCCTCTCAGCCAGGAATTCCTTCCCAGTATCCCATCTAGCCCTGCCCTCTGGCAGTGGGAAGCCATTCCCTGTGTCCTGTCCCTCTCTCCCTTGTCCCAAGCCCCTCTCCAGCTCTCTCAGAGCCTCTTTAGGCACCGGAAGGTGCTGGAAGGTCTCTCCAGAGCCTTCTCCAGGCTGAACACTCACAAACTTTCAGGCGAGGCCACCCCAAGGCAGAGCAGAGCGGGACAATCCCCTCCCTCAACTGGCTGGCAACACTTTCCTTGATACCTGATCCCTCCCTCTCCTCTCCCTCCCGCCACTTTTTTATTCCTTTCTCTCTCTCTGCACCTCACATTTTACTTTAATAATTAAATCAAAGCAGGTCTGACCCCCCCATACCTATGATGCCAGTGTAGGCCAGCAGACAGGCAGCGTAGCTCTCCCTCCGGCACCCGCTGGCAGCCTGCAGGGAGGGCTGGCAGTTGAACTGGAACTCTGCATAGCGGGACCTGGGGGAGTCACAGCACAAAAACCAGGACAGATCAGCACAGATTTTTTTGGAGGGGAAAAAAAAAAAGATACAGCAGCCCACTGGTGGTGTTTGTAAAATCCTTTGGTGCTGTGGGTGTTCCTAAACCGGTTCGAACCGATATAATTTTATGTTCGCCCGCCCCAAACAAACCCAGGAGTAGTTTTTGAGCAGGTTCTGCAGTTCATGTTTTATCAGGATTCCTCTGGAACTACAAGACAGGTCCAGTCTTGGGAGAAATGGTTGTTGTCTGCTGTGTGAGGCTGGTTTTTGAGGGAAGAGCTGTTGCCAGCAGGGAGGGAATTCATTCTGTGTTTGTTGGTTTTAGCTTTGCCTAAAGAGCCCCAACCTTCATTTTTATGCTGATTTGTTGGAACAGGGAATCACCCCGTCCAGTTTCTCTCTCTTTGAAGACTCTAAACGTAGCTGAGGTCACCTCACACCAAGAGGAATGTCCAAAGGCTCAGACATGGAATGTTCTACCCATCACCAGGGCTGCTCTCCCATCCTCTGCTGCAGTCTCCCATTCCCAGGAGAAGGTTGGACCCTCAGGAGCCTGTGGAGCAGGTAAATCCTGCTGCCAACCAGTTATTTGCCACCTAACTCTCTAGGGATAAGGCAGTTTTTGGCACATGGTGGTGTTTGGACACTGTAGGATATCTGAGACATCCACATGGGACTTTCAGGTAGGACCTGGTGGAGATTCAGATCCATCTGAAGAGGCCTCCCATGGCCAGGGAGGAAGGGACCTCAAACACTGCTGACACCTGAAGGTAGAGCCCTTTTGGTGACAACCTGCAGTGTCTGAAGTGTGAACTGACCTCAAAATGTTAGCTCTGCCTGGGAAACCTCAGGAAAACTGAGCATGTTGCTCCTCCCAGACACCCTCTCTTTTCCAGACATTTTCTTGGTGTTCCTGCTCAGGGTCAGAATTCCAACTTGCACTTTCCTACCCACTTCTCTCCTCCTCCCCAGCCTTCTCCTTTTTTTTTTTTTCCCCTCTTCTTTGTTCCCATATTTGCCCCACACCAACCCCTTTTCTCCTGTCACACCAGGAAAAATCTTCCTGCCCAAAATGTGCCGCTTTCAGAGGAGGGAGATGCTGCTGGTAGATTTTATAGAATTCCATATAATCTGTGTCAGCAGAAGCCACCCCTCCAAGCTGGGAAATCCAAGGGGTTACAGCTGGGAAGGAGCTGCAGGAGGAGGACTTGCAGGGCAGGCAAATGGAGTATTTTACTCCATTCCTTTATGATTTATTCCTCGTGGTTTCTGCACTGCTGGCTCTGACCAGGTCACACGTCAACCCCTTGTTCCTGCTGTGCCTCTAGAGGATATTTTACATTCTACATTCAGAGGCCAAGGGAGCAGATAATGAACAGCTGTGCTGGGGCAGGAAGTGGTTTCCAGCCTCCTGGGGGGCAACACTCTCCCCTTTGAACCTCTTCCTCCCCGCTGGGCCCTCTTGTCTTGTCAGGGAGAGGGCAGGACCACTTCAGATTCCAGGATCAATCTTCCATTTCAGGTTCCCTGGGTACCAGGGGACATCTGAGCCAGGGCTGGGGTGGCTCAAAGGCTTTGCATCATTCTCAGTCGTTGTCCTTCATCCACATTTCTGAGGTGTACAGGGATATTTGTCCCAGTCCATCCTTCCAAGAGGATGTTGCTGCTCTCACCTCCCCTTTGCGAAAATAAAGAATATTTTAATTGTAATTTAAGGATGATGTGCTGGTGGGCAATGGCTGCTGGCAGTTCAGCTGAGGAAGTCCCAAACCCCTCAATAATTAGAGTCTGGGATAATGCTGGAGGTGTTGTCCTACACTTGTTCTTGTGCTTTCCTTCTCCAGGTGTCTGCTCAGGGCTCCAGCTGCACCCAGGGCACTGGGCTGGGATCACCACGATCGGTGCTTTGTGGTCTCACATCTCCCACAGACAGATGGGCTCTGCTCCCAGGAGCTGTGTGTGGATTGGCCTTCTGGAATATCAAGGACTTTCGGAGAAATACAGGGGTGAAAATAGTAGAGAAGAAGGAAAAAGACTGTAAATGAGCACAGGGGATGGGTCTGTGGGGTTGGGTGGAAGCAGAGCGGCAAACCACACTGGCCACGGGCTGAGGGGTGGATCTGGAGTGACACTGAGACCCTGAGACTCCTGTTGCAACCACCAGAGCTTAGAATTATGGAATGCTTTGGGTTAGGAAGGACCTTAAAGATCATCTTGTCCCACCCCCTGCCGTGGGCAGGGACACCTTCCACTATCCCAGGTTGCTCCAAGCCCCGTCCAACCATGCCTTGGACACTTCCAGGGATCCAGGAGCAGCCACAGCTTCTCTGGGCAACCTGTGCCAGGGCCTCCCCACCTGGGGAGGCCCCTCTCCACCCTGGTGGAAAATATTCCACCAGGGAATATTTTCTTCCTAACATCCAATCGAAATCTACCCTCCTTCAATTTAAAGCCGTTCCCCCTTGTCCTGTCCCTCCATGTGGGATGCTGTGGACTAGGGGAGATGGACAGTGAGGAGATGGGTCAGTGAAAGTGGCTGCAAACACCCCACCCCACATCCCTGCATGGCTCACACCTTCCTGAAGAAAGGCATTGCACGGGATAAGGGGTGTAAGATGCCAGGATTGGTGCAGACCATCCATGGATCAGGAGACCCAGCTTTGCCACCGAGACCCAGAGCGGGTCTTTCTTTAGGACCAAAGCCAAAAAAACCCACAGAAAAGGTCTAAAAAGCTCCAGCATGAACATCTCAAATTTTCTTCTGCCTGTTAACACAGGAAAGGATGTGGGAAGGAGCCACCAGGACAATGAACTGTCAGTGGGATGTGGTGGGAGACCCAACATTGCCACCAAGACCCAGAGCGGGTCTTTCTTTAGGACCAAAGCTGAAAAAACATAGGAAAGGTCTAAAAAGCTCCAACCTGAACATCTCCAATGTTCTTCTGTTTGTGTAAGATACAAGATTATGGATCATGGGAAGGAGCCACCAGGGCAGTGAATTGTCAGTGGGATGTGGTGGGAGACCCAGCTTTGCCACCGAGACCCAGAGCGGATCTTTCTTTAGGACCAAAGCTGAAAAATCCATAGAAAAGATCTAAAAAGCTCCAGCATGAGCATCTCAAATCATCTTCTGTCTGTGTCGAACACCTTGTGTACGTGTCCTTGTATCCCACAGCTTGTGTACGTCTCCTTGTATCCCACACCTTGTGTACATGTCCTTGTATCCCATACCTTGTGTACGTGTCCTTGTATCCCACACCTTGTGTATGTGTCCATGTACTCCATACCTTGTGTATGTGTCCTTGTATCCCACAGCTTGTGTATGTGTCCTTGTATCCCACACCTTGTGTACGTGTCCTTGTACCCCACACCTTGTGTATGTGTCCTTGTATCCCAAACCTTGTGTATGTGTCCATGTACTCCATACCTTGTGTACGTGTCCTTGTATCCCACACCTTGTGATACAAGGATGTGGATCATAGGAAGGAGCCACTGAGACAACAACCAGTCAGTGGGATGAGGTGGGATGTGGGACCCTTCAGGTGAGCGCATCGGGGCTGTCATCAGGGGATGAACCCTTGGGACGCGCCCAAGGGACACCTCTCCGCGTCAGCCCCAACCCACGCACGGACGTTACCTGCAGACGTAGTTTTCCCGGCAGGAATCCAGCGGCGCCAGGCAGTTGGGCTTGTCCTTGGCCTCGTAGGAGCAGGCGGGGACGATGGTCTGGCGGCGGCGCTCGGCGCAGGCCGTGTCGTCGCAGGGGCAGAAGAGCAGCTCGTGGGTGTACTCGGGGGGCACGCGGTCGAAGAAGCGGCGCAGGGCCTTGTGGCACTTGGAGCGGTTGCAGGAGTCGGCGCGGGCCAGGCGCCGGATGCACAGGGACACGTACTCCGTGCGCAGCCGCTGGCACAGCTCGTCCACGTTGCAGGCCTTGGCCGCGTCCAGGCACCGGTTCACCTGCGTCACCTCGTTCTCCGACCCTGCGGGACGGGGCACAGGAGGGGGGGGTTGGCACCGAGACCCACCCCCAGAGGCACCACCCCTGTATAGTATATATAGTATATATATTTTATATGTTTTATATATTTTATATATAAAATATGCTTTATATATTTTATATATTTATATATTGTATATGTTATGTATTTATGTATTTATATATTTTATATATAATATATAATATATTATATATATTATATACTCTATATATTTTATATATTTTTATATATTTTATATATAAAATATACTTTATATATTTTATATATTTTATATATTATATATTATGTATTTATATATTTTATATATAATATATAATATATAATATATTGTATATTATATATATTATATATTTTATATATTTTATATATTTTTATATATTTTATATATAAAATATACTTTATATATTTATATATTATATATATTATGTATTTATGTATTTATATATATAATATATAATATATAATATATAATATATAATATATAATATATAAAATATATATAATATATAATTTATATTATATGTATTATATATTATATATATTATATATTCTATATATTTTATATATCATCATCGTTGGGCTTTGTGAATGAAGATTAAGGAAGGCTCTATCCACACTTATTACAGTTATTACACATATTTCATATATAATATATAATATATATTTTATATTATATATAATATAACTAATATATAATATAGTTATTACAGATACTATAAGTTTTATAGATATTATAGATACTATAGATATTCTAGAAACTATAGACATTATGGATATTATATATATAATATATTATATATTATAGATATAATACATTATAGATATTATATGAGAGATAATATATATATTATATATACTTTATATATTATTAATGCTATATATATATAACGTGGTACATATATATATAACATATAGTATATATAATATACAGTACATATATAAAATATATAGTATATATGATGTATTATATATGTGATATATATTATACATTATAATATTTTAATATATTATATAGCTGATAATATTTAAAAAATATTAATCACTACATGACTAACATTATAATTAATATAATATAATTAATATAATTGATATTATATTAATGACATATTATATTAATGACATACAATTATTGTATATTATAATTATATACTATATGCTATAATAATGTATTATTATATCTTAGAATTAATTATGAGATATTACATATTAATTATAATATACATATACTAGTTATACTGCATTAAATATTAATATGTACTAGTAGTACTGTATTAAATATTAATTATATACATTATAATTATATTATAATAACATATGATAACTATTGATTATATTCTCAAATTATATTATTTATTATTGATTAATTATAGTTATTATATTAATATAGTAATAATATTAATGTATTTTATATATTTAATAGATTATATTGTCTATATAGGTTATATACCATATATTGTATATTATATATTAATACTATATATTATATATATTTAATATATTATATATTACATTATATATAAAATACATAGTATTTATCATTTATATACTATATATTATATACTGTATATTATATATATTTTATATATTATGTATAGTTTATACATTGTAAATATTATATATATTTTATATATTTTAAATACACATATTATATCATTCATATACTACATATTATGCAGTTTTCTAGTCCCTTTGTGCTGGTTTTCTAAAATGTTCAAGAGGAATTTTAACGAGTTCAAGGGTTTCTCTGTCTGTGAACTGGAGTGAGAAAAGGGCCATAACACCTGATATTACCAAAGCTTCTCCAAAGCCTTGAAAGCATTCCAGGTAAGGCCATAACATCCCAAAGGAGATGAGGGAGAGGAGGAGAAGATGAAGAGATGATCTCCTTGAAACCTCCAACTGAAATTTGGGAGGTGCGGGGAGGGCGGTACCGAGGGAGGGACGGGTTTGGAGGTGGGTGTGGCACTCTCAGCTAATTGGTAATTAGGTAACGAAATAAAAGCAAGAGACTTTGTTGTCTCTGGCACACTTTGAAAAATATTCCTGCATAAAGAGAGCGGTTTTCGCTTTCTAATACTCAAAAAGAGTCTCAGAGGGTTATTTTCCTGCATCAGCCACCTTGGTGAGACCACAACCTCCTCCAAGAAAACAGTGTCTGGGTGATGCCCACATTTGTTTGCCGTGTCCTGGCAGGCCCAAATCCACTTCCCACATTCATTTTTTTCCCGGGAGGTGCCACAGCAACCCATCAAACCTCACCCCCCAGGGCTTGCTCCCCCACTTTCCTATACTTAATAAAATGAAGCTTTGCTCTGCCCTGGGCATCTTGTAACACTTTTCTAATGTGAACCGGGACTTGAGGCCTGGGAAAACAGGAGCCATCAGGAATTGCACCTGCTTATGGCCACGGCTGGATCCACCATTGGGATTTCTAGTAAAAGACCCTTTTTTTTCCCATGAGTTGCTCAAAATTAAGCACTGAGTCAGTGGCAAAGCTGCTGATCCATGGATGGTCTGAACTAATCCTGCACCTCAGGCTCTCTATCCTGTGCAATGAGTTTCTTCTGGAAAGAAGACCTGGAGGGTCCCATCAGGCTTTGGTCCATCCCAGGACCCGCCCAGCTAAGCAAGAGCTGCTTGGGTCTCAAAGTGCCACAGCAGATCTCTCACTTCCCCCATCCAGACCAGTCCTGACCAGTAAATCCATGTCCTAAGAAGTAATGGTGCCTTCACAGGATGGGATCAGAGGCACCATCCCACTTGGACCCCCCGGGACCTGATGATGGGTCTGTCCCCAGAGCCTTCCCCACCTTCAGCAAAATCATTCTGCACTTCCACCCTCTTAAAGAAGAGGAGAAAGGATGTCCCAGTCTGGGTGGGAGAGCAGGGGTGTGCTGTGGGGACACAGGGATAGTGGAGGAAAACGTGGAGCGTGGGGAACAATCAGGAAAATAAAGCAGGAATTGTGGTGATGAATGCAAAATAAACAGTAGGAAAACAGGGATCTCACGAGTTTATATGAGGCCAACAGCCTCCTCTGCAAATGTGGGGAGTAAGTAAGAGGGAAAGGTCTCCCAGGTGCCCCTGTATCCCTGAAAGTGTCCAGGGCCAGGTTGGATGGGGCTTGGAGCAACCTGGGCTAGTGGAAGGTGTCCCTGCCCACGGCAGGGGGTGGAACAAGATGGGCTTTAAGTCCCTTCCAACCCAAGCTGTTCTGGGATTCTGTGAAAGGTGTTTTGTGTAACACTGGCTGTAGGGTCCTTAGAGATGGATGGGGTCTGTTTTATAGAGGGGAAAATGCTCCAGAGTCATGGCAGGAGTGGGTTGGGATATCAGGTTCTGTTTGCTCACACAGGTAAGACAAGGAGCCTCCAAGCATGAGAGAGAAAATGAAGTTGAAGCTGATTTTCACCTCTCTGCATTAAACCCGTGACCTGCAGCACACCAGGACTTTCTTCACTTAGGAAAAATCCCCAGAATGATAAATTCCCAGTGCAGAGTCAAACCCTATCTTTGGCCAGGAGTTAAAACCAACCAGTCAACTGCTGACATGTGCTAAAACAGTCTCCCTGAGCACTTCAGAGCTGGCTGCCCTCCTTTATTTCCCTGGCATTATCAGATGCTCCTCCCGGCATTTCTTTTTCCCTTCCTGTTGTCCCTGCTGCTTACAGTGAGCTGGAAGTCAAATTCCGAGTTTTTCAGGGCGAAACTTTTGCTTGGGGTGTTCCCACCACCAAATAATTCCCTTTCAAAATGCCCAGAGAGAGGAATATTGTCAGAGCATCAGTTTATGCTGGGGAAATGCCAACCAACGTGGAGGAAACGGTTCCTTGGAAGGGTTTCATCATCCATTCAGTTCATAAATCACAGGGAATACGCTGGATTTTCTCCTCTTCCCACACAACCAAAGGATGTGCTTTTTAAATCACTGCTACGATTAGGAGTGGAGGGATGTGGCTCCATTTGCAGAGTTTTAAGAGTGGCCATATATTGTTTGGGTGAAATTTGGTTTAAAATACCTGTTGCTCTCGCTTGGCAAACAGTCATGGGGGTGTTTTTTGTTTCAGCATGTTCTTGGGAATTTTGGGAGGTTTTTTGGTAGATTTGAAAGGGGATCCTTTGGCAATGCTGATTGTATGGCCCTGGACACTGGACAGGCACAGGGTGGCAGGTCCTGATTCATGTTATGGAAGATTTTGATTGGTATAAATAGGGAAAAACAGGTTAAACCAAGAAAATTCATGTCCCTAAGTGGATGCCGAGTCCTCTGATGAATCCCTGCTGCTCTGGGCCCGTTTGCTTTGCTGCCCAAACGATTTCAGTCTGCCTTAAAAATGTGCTAACCGTGCAGAAAAATCCCCATGCCTGGATTTCCCCGTGCTCCGAAGCCCTGGAGGACTCTTAGAAAAAGGTGGAAAACTCCATTAGAAAGGCCATGACCCAGCAAACAGCTTTGGCCACGCTCCAGTGTCCACGCTCCCATCTGTCAAGTGGAGTCAATAAGAAGAGCGAGGGCAGGGAGCACCTCCCATCCCTCTCTGCTTTGATTGTCCGGGGCTGATGGGTTAATTTGCTCCTGGACAATTTTCCTGGCCGTGGCAGGGACTGAGGGCATCCATCAGCCTCAGGCACCTGCTGCTCCTCCTCGCTTGGGTGCCCTCCAGCCGTGCTGCCACCCCAGAGCCGGGGGCACAGTGGGGAAAAGCTGAGACGGGACAGATGTTTTGGCACATCTGCCAGAGCGCATTACCTGCTCCCAGACAGGGAGTTTTATAACCCAAATCACTGTTGGTAAAGCTCCCCCATGGCTGGTGCAGGAGCTGGTTGGTGATGGATGGGTTGTTGGCCGACCTTTTAACTGCTGAGTCCTGTTTGTGCCCTCCAGGGGTTAAAAGGTGTCAGGCAGCTCTGTTTAAGTTGTTAAGGGGATTACATGATGCAGAGCAGAACAGGGGGTTGAGGTTGCCCTAAGGGCATGGGGTTAAAGGCTGTGTCTGGAATCAACCCATAGGGTGGATTTTTGACCTTTTTTCCCTGCAGTTTGACCCTGTGACTGATGTGGAAGCACCTTTGAAACCCAAGCAGCTCCTGTTTGCTGAGGTGTCTGCAGGGCACAGATCATCCACCTGCTGTGGAGAACGAGCCCATTGGAAGAGGTCTTCCCACCACATCCCTTTTTTTTCATGCCCACACCGTAACAGACACAAAAAAAAGCCAAAGGATGAAACCACAAGTGGTTCTTCCCAGAACACGTAAGAGTTTAGCACAGGAATCACAGGCAACTCCTTGGAAAAGCAACTGCTGGGCCTGAACCAGGCAATGCTCACAAAGGATTTCCCTGTCTGTAGCTCTTCCACAGCCAGTCCCTTCCCCAGTTTGAACCAGTTAAGAGCAGCTCCCCTGCCACCTACCTGCAGTGATGGAGGCCAGGCGGACGTAATCGAAGCCCCTGCTGAGCGGCTCGTAGGGGGAACTCTCCAGGACATTCATTCCTGGGGGGACAGGAGAAGCTGGTGAGAGGGCAGCTGAGGCTCCTGAGGGATGACTGAGGTGCACAAGGCTCAGAGGCTGCAGTGCAGGATTGTTTGGTGGCTCCAAGCGCCATAAATAAATCCCCAGAGTCGCAGGGACTGGTGTGTGGCCACATCCTTGGAGAAGGGAATAGGATGGGACTGGCTTTTAAAAATATATCTCAGCTTTGGAGTGGGGCAGGGAACTGTTGAGTTATAAACCTCTGCAGCTCAAGCCACTCTCCAGGGAGTGTCACTGAGGACACCAGGCTGTGGGCAGGGTTCAAACCACCAGCTCCCTCCACACACGGTGTTTCCATCACTGTTCTTGCTCTTCCCTCTGTGTCTCTCCCTGGGATATGGTCCTCGCCTCTTTCTAGGACATGGCCAGGGCTGTGTGTGTGACAACACCCCCCATATTTATTACCACTTCCCCCTTTCTTCTTGCCATTATTACTTGGCACAGAGCTAATGAGCCACAGCTCCCGCAGGAGCTTCCTCTCCTCATTTTTGAGTCTCTGGGAAGCTGATTTTATTCACAACGGTCTGTACTGCCCCGTCATCCTGATGGATCCCACGGAATATTACTGAAGCAAACAGCTCAGCATCAATTCCTTGCTTTATTAGACATTTAGATGGATGTGGAACAGCAGCTGGGATAAAAGGACTATCAAACCTCAAGCTCCGGGCATATGCTGATCTCCAGGAAGAAATGGCTCCCAGGATACACAAGGCCCTGGAATTACCACAGGTGCATTACAAGGCAGCTTTACACCTTCATTGAAATATCCTGCATCGTTACCCACCGGAGAGGGGCCCATTTGTACGTCCCAGAGTAGCAGTTTTATGTCCTGATGACAAAGCACCTTTATCAGAGGATTGTTATCGGGTTGTCATCGTGTTATTGTGTCTCTAAATGGGAAGGTGGCCCTGAGTAAACAGCGTGCTTTGCAAATTCCCTGAGCACACACTTCCACGATTGTTTTTACAAGAGGGCTTCTAAGAAGCTTTTTGCAGCCTCCTGGGTGTGTGTGAGTGAGAGAGGAAGCTCTGTGTGCGTTCCTTTCTCAGTCGATTAAACGCGTGAGGACTCCGGGGCTGTTATGAAATGTATCACCCCGGGGAAATTAAGGCAAGGAAACCACAGGTTTGGGGAGTGAATCTGCACTGCAAGTGACCTCAGTCATGAAAAAAATGCAGCAGAGAAGGGGGGCAGAGTCTTGCCAGCCTCCTAAAACAGCCCTCTCACAGCCATCCCAAAGGTGGAAGTCCCAAGTTGCTGGGCGGGAAGTTCATCCAGCCCATCCAACTTCTATTCTGCATCTGGAGACCCACTCCTGGCCTCTGCCAGCCTCTCTCTCCTCTTCCTTCCAGTGCAAGGTGTCCCTGGCCATGGCAGGGGGTTGGAATGAGATGCTCTTTAAGGTCCCTTCCAACCCAAACCATTCCACTTCCCAAAGCTGGAAATTCTCCTGACCCCACCGTCCCACAGAGCCACATCACAGATGACCTGTGGCCAAAGTTTCAGCCATGAAGGTCAGCAGGGAAGGAATTGTGACACAGCCCATTGGGATGAATGTCCTTGGATTGCCACCTCTTCCCCAGGCTTCACTTCAATGGAAACTAATTCATCTGGCATTTTTACGGGAGGAATTGGATCCTGGAGGGTGCTGAGGCCTCTGATTTGCCCAGTCAGTTCATAGCACCGTGCTCTGCACCCTTCAAGCTGTGGCACCTGAAAGCTTTCCAGGAACTTGATCAGTCAGTTCCCATTCCCAACTAGTTCCCATTCCCGACCAGCTCCCATTCCAGAAAGCCTGGGCATTGTATTCTCCATCCCCTTTGTTTCGCTTGGCCTTCTGGCCCGTGGCCTCACCTCCGCACTTCTCCTTCCAGGTTTAATCCAGGAGTGTTTTATTAATCTATTTCCCAGCCCATGGCTGGAAGGGTCTGTTTTATTCCCCATTTTAATTTTCATGGTGCATAAAACACTCCTCGGCCTGACAAGGAAGAGTTACGGCCACCGAGGTGCGATTTTATGGCGACTCTTAAAACCCGTCAAAATCCAAACTTACTGAATCCCGGCTCTGGGAACACTTTAAATTCCAGCTTGATGTCACCAGCCCCAAATCTTCCCTAACCCAAAGACACTGGTGCATTCGAGAGGCTCCAAGAGAGTGATTTTTTTTAAAGTTCACGCTGTTTTTTAACTCGGTGCCTGTGCTTTATGTGGTGTTTCTGTGAATTCCATGGCGCTCACGGTCTTGGTTGACATCCTTAGATGCAAAACATGCCGTGCATTTCCCCCGGGAAAAGATCTCAAGGTATATTGGGAATGTCATAAAAGAGAGGGCAAGTTAAAAAAAAAATAAAATAAAAGGCAGGAGGTGCCTCAGGTTTTCAGGGTTTCTTTGCCCAAAATGTCAGTATCGGGGGGTCAGTAGAATCATGGATATCTTGAGTTGGAAGGGACACACCAAGATCAGCCAGTCCAACCCCTGGCCTTGCACAGACATGCCAACAATCCCACCCTGTGCCCCAGAGGATCAGCCAAACCCTCCTGGAGCTCTGGCAGCCTTGGGGCTGTGCCCACTGCCCTGGGGAGCCTGGGCAGTGCCCAACCAGCCTCTGGGGGAAGAACCTTTCCCTGAGATCCAACCTGACCCTACCCTGGCACAGCTCCAGCCATTCCCTCAGCTCCTATCAGCAGGTCTTGAGAGGGAACAGGAGGCTACAGGGACAACCTTGTTTTGCAGGAGCTCTGGAGAGAGCTCCACGAGCAACTCCCTCTCGGGAAGGCCACCAGGAACGAGCAGAGGACTGACCTTCCATGAGGGTGTGGTGGATGCTCCAGTAGACACTCAGGCAGTGCTTCTCCTTCTTCATGCCCCTCTTGCACTTGCAGCCGTAGAGCTGGCTGGAGAGCAGGGCTGTCACCGTGCTCCGGCACTGGCTCTTGGCGTCGGGGCCCAGCTTGTTGGCCCCGTTCCCGGCGATGCACTGCCGCAGGGTCCGGAATTTGGCGCTGCACACGGGGTCGGTGGTGCACGACTCGCCGGCCTGCAGGCAGTCCCTGCTCGAGCCCACGGCTTCTGCCATGCCTTCTGCAAGGAAAGCAGAGTCACAGGATATCCTGAGTTGGAAGGGACGCACATGGATCAGCCAGTCCAACCCCTGGCCCTGCACAGACACCCCAACAATCCCACCCTGTCCCTCAGAGCGTTGTCCAAACCCTCCTGGAGCTCTGGCAGCCTTGGGGCTGTGCCCACTGCCCTGGGGAGCCTGGGCAGTGCCCAACCAGCCTCTGGGGAAAGAACCTTTGGCTGAGATCCAACCTGAGCCTGCCCTGGCACAGCTCCAGCCATTCCCTGGGTGCTGTCCCTGGTCCCCCCAGAGCAGAGCTCAGTCCCTGCTCCTCCTCTTCCCCTCCCATGGAATTTTCAACTGCAATGAGGTCTCCCCTCAATCTCCTCTCCTCCAGGGAAGAGGTGTGAGGGCTATGGAGCAACCCCAGGCAGGGAATGGTTTGTATCTCCCACAGCCTCCTTCCTCTAGGCTGCCCAGAGAAGCTGTGGCTGCCCCATCCCTGGAAGTATCCCAGGCCAGGTTGGACGGGGCTTGGAGCAACCTGGGCTAGTGGAAGGTGTCCCTGCCCATGGCAAGGGGTGGGACTGGATGATCTCCACTTTCCCTTCCAACCCAAACCATTCCATGATTCCATGACAGGGTCAGCCTGGTAGCAGGATTACAAGTGACAGAAACTCATCCCTGGTGCTTCCTCTTTGCTTCTCGGAGCACAAAAAAGCTTCCCAAACCCATTCTCCTCCCTGCTTTCTCCCTCATTCCTGCTCTCCCAAGTTAACAGCAGCCCAACCCTACGGAGACCCCCGGCCTCTCCTCCTGGCACACGAATTCCCTGTGCCTACGCCTCCCTGGAGCTATGAATGGCTCTGTGTGGGTGTTCTGACACAGAGTCAGCCCACCTGTGTCCCAGGAGTTGGCCCTTGTTCCCTGTCAGCACATCCCCAGGACTCCCACTGGGTTTGTCTTGGCTTTTTCCAGGATTTTGGAAATTGTCTTCAGAGCTACTCGTGAAAATACAAAGGCGTTTGTTCCCCATTTGGGGAGGGGAGACCAAAGCATGGGAGGAAGATGTTATTTCCACGTGGGCATCAATAAATTAATTGATCAGGGCTCAGTGGAGCTGTGTCCCAGTGCCTGGAGCAGCCCAATTCCATGTTATTAATTGCTAAACCAGGCTGGACACATCCCAACTGACTCCTTAGGGATGTTCCCACCCCAAGGCTCATGACAAAGGCATGGAGGGCCAGAGGCTCAGCTGTGCTCAGCAGGACATGGTGGCATCCAGGTGGTGGAGAGGAGACAGGGCCAGGACAAGGGGAATGTCACCCCTTCCAGCTGGTGGGATGCTCTGGAGTGGTGACATAGGCTTGGGGGAGTGCTGAGGAGGGAAACCTGGGTTATGGAAGAGGAGAATCAGTTCCAGAGCCTGTAATATCATTTTCAGATCCTTCTGCACCATAAAAACAGAAACTGCTGCCATGACCTTGAAGGAGGATTTCTCAAGCACCTCCCAAAGGAGCTCCCTGTCTCTGACATAACCTGTCTTCCCTTTGGATGGGAACCAGAAGGGTGAGGATGGATAAGGTTGGGAACCCCTTTGGATAAGGTTGGGAACCAGAAGGGTGAGGATGGATAAGGTTGGGAACCAGAAGGGTGAGGATGGATAAGGTGGATGCAACTTGGTGGCTTTTTGAGCCACCCCAGTACCTGTCACTGGTGAGACCCCAGTTAGACAATATTAGAAAATCCTCCCTCCTGAGAAAACTGTGAGGCCTTGATCTCCATCTCTGAGGGTTTCATGGAATCTCTGCTCTCTCCAAGATCTACTGATCTCTTCATAAAGTCCCTTCTTTTCACCTTCCACCTGCCACCTCTCCTCAACTTCTGCACCTCCCAGTTTAGTATTTGAGCCCGGTATATCCATCTCTCTTTCCTCAGCAGTCTCAGGGTGTTTGCTAAGAAGGAGCTGCCTCTGCTGCTCTTGACTAGAGCAGAAAGCAGCAGCTGGAGTGCAGATATTTCAGTGATGTTTATGACAAACTCTGGATGAACCCACCAGGAGGTTTCCTCCCGAAATATCCCGATGGCATCTCGAATGCAAAACCTTTCATCAAACCCCAGACCATTTCCAAGTGCCTCGTGGCCAATGCCAAGCTTTCAGGTATTTCAAATCTCACAACACCTCGGATCCCAGCTCTCCCACCCCTGATTTATTCATAGACCTGGTTTATGCAGCACTCAAGGCTTGTTTGGATCTGCCAAATGTGGAGGGAGAAATTATTTCCAGCATGCAGGAAACTCTGCCTTGGGCTGTCATATATTGAAGAACTCCGAAAACAAGGAATGAGTTTCCTTGAAATATCGTTTGGGCTGCAATTTCACTGAGATCCATAAAATATCTGAACATATCCAAGCAGAATCCATAGGAATAAAGATGAAAAGTGCTTGGCTTATTTCACCCTGCCTTTCTCCAAAGGATCTGCTCTGGATGAGGATAAAGCACGGTAGGTTTCATTCTGGAAGAGATGACTTTGTCAGTGTCCTGTCAGCTGCTGGAAAAGTAGGTTAGAGCAGAAATTATGACCTTCCTTCCCCTTCTTCACTTCATGAATTGCAGAAGATACTCCCCAGGATGGTTATAAACACAACCAGCCTGTAAAAGCTGTAAAACACTTCGGGATCCCACTTTAAATAAATCAAGCAGATTGACCACTTGAGAAATTTTTAAGTAAATATATCCCCGGGCTGAGATTCGCTCCGCGGAACAAGGGCCAGGGGTGAATATTTACAGCCCAAACTCACGGCATAGAACGCCCCCAATTCAGATTTTATGGCAGGGAGCGTCACAAACGACCCGTGGCCACGTCACTTAAACCCCAAATCGTTCAGGGGCTTTCATTGTTAGAGGTGTCTTTGCAACTGAGACAACAGAACACCACGTTTCCCTCCTCGCACGGCCCCTCGGAGAGGAATTTTATGCAACATTAAGACAGAGCCTCTTAGGGGGAAAAAAAGAAATAAATCTCTGTGACTTATAAAACGGATGGTGCTCCCTACCAGGCGGGACAGGAGCAATATCAGGTGTTCTCTCCCAAAAGATGGAGTGGCCTCTCTGCTTTTCGCCTTCCAAAATAGCTCCTCGCGGGTTTTTGTGCCGCGGGATTTTCGTCCTCCCTGACCGAAAATCAGGATGTGCGCCCGACTGGGTCTTCCATGCCTCTGCTGTTCTACTAGCAGCCCTTCCAGCTCCCCCTGCTCTCTTTAAAAAGCCATTTGTCTGGAGTTTTATCCCTCTCTCGCTGCTAATTTCACGCTGTTTACGGCGGGCAGATGGAGTAATGAGTTTATTTTCCCATCCCGGGCTCCACATCTGTCTCTGCTCTCGCTCGCCTCGGTGACACTCACACAGAGCCACTTCTCCTGTGCAGGAGCGAGAGGGAAACCTGGCTCTTCCCATCTTCACAGACCCTCAGTTCCTCTCATACAGTCTTATTTTGCTCACCAAGAGGTCTGACTCTCTCCAAGGAGATGATTTCCTTCCTCGAGGAAGTGCAGGTGGGGGTGAAGAAATATGAAGGTGACCCCATGTGGGCTGGAAAAGGTGAATAAAGTGCCTGGAGAGCACCAAGGTGAGATCCTGCCACTCTCCTTTTCTGATCCAACCAATGCTTGGGCTTTGAATGTTTTAGGAGGAACCAAACCAGTTCATCCTGGGGTTTTGGGATACATCCCACTCCCCTCCAGTTCTTATATGTATTAGGTGTGAATATTTTTACAGTCCTGTTTTGAGGTGCTGGAGCGTGTCCAGGGAAGGGAACGGAGCTGGGGAAGGGGCTGGAGCAGCAAGAACAGCTGAGGGAGCTGGGGGGGCTCAGCCTGGAGAAAAGGAGGCTCAGGGGGGACCTTCTAGCTCTGCAACTCCCTGACAGGAGGGGGGAGCCCAGGGGGGGTCGGGCTCTGCTCCCAGGGAACAAGGGACAGGAGGAGAGGGAACGGCCTCCAGCTGTGCCAGGAAAGGTTCAGGTTGGACATCAGGAGGAATTTCTTCCTGGAAAGGCTTGTTAAGCATTGGAAGGAGCTGCCCAGAGAGGGAGTGGAGTCCTCGCCCCTGGAGGTGTCCAAGGTAGGACTGGCCATGGCACTCAGTGCTCTGGGCTGGGGGACAAGGTGGGGGGATTGGTCCAAGGTTGGACTCAATGATCTTGGAGGTCTTTTCCAACGTTAATGACTCTGTGATTCTGGGATTCACACACAGCCCTCCACAGTGATAACACTGTCATTATTTCCCTGACAAGCTGTTGACACCAAAACATTTGGTGTTTGCTTTCACAGTATTTGCTGCTAAGACAAGAATAACCTCCCAAAATCTCCAAGAAAGCAACAGGAGTGGTTTATTACTCCTTTAGCTTGTTTCCAGCCTTGTTCTGCCTGCAAAGGTGGGTGAATGTCTTCATAGAATCATAGAAGGTTTGGGTTGAAAGGGACCTTAAAGACCATCTTGTTCCACTCCCTGCCATGGGAAGGGACACCTTCCACTATCCCAGGTGGCTCCAAGCCCCATCTAACCTGGCCTTTATTCCAGATCTGATCTTCCAACCAGCACATAGTCCATGTAAATGGCTGGGAGAGGACACTGCAAGGAATCCTGTGCTGGTGTGAGAGACACCTGCAGAAAACAGGATCTCAACAAGAAGTGGGCACCAGACCATCCTTCTGTGTCCAGCTGCTAGAAATGGCCATCACTGGACAACCTTTGCAGGCTGGGTCAAATTAAATCAAGCCCCAAATTAACGTACTTTCTAATAGAGAACTGTAATTTCAACCTCCCCAGAGCTGCCAGAAACATGTTGTTACACACAGTCCTCCTGGAGTGAGAAACGATGGGAAATGGAGTCTTGAAGAAATATTCCTAGTATTTCCCAAATATCCATAAACCAAGAGTGATGAATGGGTTGGGATAGAGATGAATGAGGGCAGGTGGGCAGTGCAGGTGGTCCCTGCTGAACCCTGTTTGGACTGT